GACAGCGGCCAACCCTAGGGACCCTGGAGGGGATGGACCGAAGACAGTGACCAAGCCATTTGTCTCGTGCCATCCCTCTCCAGCCTTCCACAAACTTTGGGCAGGGACACCACTCCTACCCTCTGGCTAATAGGACTCCATGGACCCAACCTCCATGACTTGATCTCACTTCCCTTTCAACTCTGTTCTAGTTGTAGCCTTCACAGCCTCCTGCAGCAAGGAGTTTCGCAGGTTAACTATTTGCTTTGTGAAGAAGAACAACTTTCTCTTACTAGTTTGAAGCCTGCTACCCATTCCTTTCCTTTGGTGTCCTCTAGTCCTTCTTTATGGGAACTCAGGAAGAACTTTTCTGAATGCACCCTCTCCACCCAACCCCTGCTTTTAGAGACCTCTATCCTGTCCCCTCTCCGTCTCCTCTTTTCTAAGCTGAACAGTCCCAGTCTCTGTAGCCTTTCTTCATCTGGGACCTGTTCCCAACCCCTGATCATGTTAGTTGCCCTCCCCTCTCCCAGCCTTTCTCTTCCCCTCTCCCACCTCCTTTTCCCAGTCTCCCCCAGTTTTTTTCAATAAAGACAGAGTCAATGTTGGAAGAAACGTTATCTTTATTTTGTACATCAGGAAGGGGGGGCTAGGGAAGGGTAAGTGGAAGGAGGTGAGGGAGGAATGGGGTACGTGCCCCCGATGGGGAGGACTGGGCTGGCTCTGCGGGCTTCTGGGGGTGGAAGCTCTCCTGCAGCCCCCCAATTGCCCCCTCTCCCCAGATGGCAGCCTGCGGCAAGTGCAGCCGGGCTGATGGCCGAGTGCTGTGATGTGCCCAGTGTGGGTACTCTGGGCAATCCAAGCCAGCACTGCTTTGCAAGCGGGGCACCCCTGCGAACTGTCTGTCCGGGGTGGGGGTCGGATCCCTTTAAGCACAGCCCTCGGCTAGCCTGAGGCAGCAGCTCCACACTCTAAGTCCTCCTCTGATGCCCTGCCGGCACTGCTTCCGGCCATCCTTAACCCCGGTTCAGGGTCCACTTAATGTGGACATGCTAGTTCGAATTAACAAAACGCTAATTCAAACTAGTTTTTTAGTCTGTATCCGTTAGTTCAAATTAGCTTAGTTCGAATTAATTAATTCGAACTAAGTTAGCTCGAATTAGCGATATAGTGTAGACATACCCTGAGATAGAACCAAATACTGCAGTAAATACCCAACTCAACAAGATATTAGCACATACATATAGTCCTACTCAAGAGTAATATTCAATTGCTCACAGTTAGGTGTCAGCTTGAGAACCTTGCTGAACTGAATCATGAAGAAAAGACATCTTTATACCAGAAAGATCAAAATCATACCAAGAATAAAACATCTGTGAGAAACTCCTACAGAATTATCTAGGGATGAAACCAACATGTGTCTCTCTAAAAAAAACCCCTATATTTAATAATAATACTTTCTTTCCATAGACTTTGGTGACTATCTCACAGAATTCTTCAGAGGTATTTTTCTATGTAATTGTAAAAGTTATTTTAAAACTTCTACTTCAGTGATTCTAGATATCTACACCTCCACGTAATACAGAACGATACCAAAAATGCCAAATCCCCCCTCTCTCTACTCTTCTGCAGAATATATTTTAAATTAAAGCTTGTCAGAAAATAGGAAGTTTTGCCAAAATGTTTTCTTTTTTGTTAATTTCATTTTTGCTGAAAACTTCCAACTGGCTACTGTACTGATAGGAAAACATAAATACAACATTTTTGCAAATTTTCTTTGCCTGACAGAAGTTCTCTCACCAGCTATATTTTAAATAAGGGAGTGTTTTATTTGGAATATAACCTAAAAGTGGATAATTAATGTACAGCAAGTGTGCACTTCTGAAACTACTTTAGAAATAATTTGAGAAGAGGAGACAAAAATAAATCTTGCAACTGTTTGAGCTTTGGGTGTGTGAGAATGGTGGGGGGAGGGGAAGTTTGGAGGGGGAAACTTTCCTTCCACAAGACTGTGCACTTCATAGAATCATAGAGCTGGAAGAGATCTCAGGAGGTCATCAAGTCCAGCCCCCTGCCCAAAGCAGGACCAATCCTAACTAAATCAACCCAACCAGGGCTTTGTCAAGCCAAGACTTAAACACCTCTAGGGATAGAGATTCCACCATCTCCCTAGATAACCCATTCCAGTACTTCACCACCTTCCTGGTGAAATAGTTTTTACTAATATCCAACCTAGAGCTCTCCCACTTGTAACTTGAGACCATTGCTCCTTGTTCTGCCACTTGTCACTACTGTGAACAGCCTTTCTCCAGCCTCTTTGGAACCTCCCTTGAGGAAGTTGAAGGCTGATATCAAATCCCCTCCTCACTCTTCTCTCCTGCAGACTAAACAAACCCAAATCCCTCAGTGTCTCCTTATAGGTCATGTGCTCCAACCTCCTAATAATTTTGGTTGCTCTCCGCTGGACCCTCTCCAATGCGTCCACATCCTTTCTATAGTGGGGGACCCAGAACTGGACACAATACTCCAGATGTGGCCTCACCAGAGCTGAATAAAGAGGAATAATCACTTCTCTAGAGCTGCTGGCAATGTTTCTCCTAATGCAACCTAATATGCCATTAGCCTTCTTGGCTACAAGGACACACTGTTGACTCATATCCAGCTTCTCATCCACTGTAATCCCCAGGTCCTTTTCTGCAGAACTGCTA